TAAATACTCAACCAAATTTATCACCTAATTCTACCCCATGCTCAACCCCAACAACAAATAGAGCCATAAATCTTCCTGTTGATCTCAACCAATATTTGCCCGAACCACCTCAACAATCAAGTAAATTCATGACATGATCTTGCATCCTACCACCATGTCCAAATGAAGTGCCTTCATAACTATAACCATTCCAAATTACCTGTACACAAAGCAAACAACATTAGTGCAAGAAAAACAAATTTTAGAATGGAGAGAAGCAATCCAAGATGAGCTGAATGCACTCCTTCAAAATAAAACATGGACTTCAGTTTCACGACCACCTAGTAAGAATATTATTGGGAACAAATGGATATTCTTAATCAAGAGGAAATCCAATGGTGATATTCATAAGTATAAAGCTCGCATAGTGGCGAAAGGCTACTCCCAACAATGTGGTGTAGATTATCAAGATACTTTCTCTCCAGTTGTTAAATTTACCACTGTTCGCACTGTGGTCTTGCTAGCAACATTTCATCAATGGCCCATAAGACAAATTGATATTTCAAATGCTTTCTTGCATGGACATCTGGAGAATGAGATTTACATTGAGCAACTAGCAGGTTTCGTGCACTCTTCCTGTCCGAATCATGTCTTCCAACTACATTAGTCACTCTATGGCCTCAAACAAGCTCTGCGAGGTTGGTTCCATCGCTTATCAACTTTCTTAATACAATCAGGATTCACTCCATCAAAAGCTGATAGCTCCCTTTTAATTATCTGCTAAGGTGATTTGAAAATTTTCATTCTCGTTTATGCTGATGACATATTGTTAACATGTTCAGATCCTAGGAAGTTGGACTCCTTCACTAGTTCTATGAAAAAGGTCTTTCATGTTAAAGACTTGGGTACACTACATTATTGTTAAATATCGTACTGCAAAATCTATTTTTCCAACAAAATAACTTCAAACAAATAATGAAATATAACATATGAAGTTAAATAAATTTTGGAAACAAAAAATCATATAATAACAAGATGAAAGGAAGAAGAGTCAAGTCCTCTGAATTCACAAAGTTTCCTTAATGAAATTATTCCCCTCAAGTACCCGAGGTTATGGAATATATCCTTCCAGGATAAAATGACTCACGACAAAAAAATAGTGGTACATCAAATTTGTTGTCCAACGAACCACTCAATGGCTTGTAATCACACTTGAAGGTTTTTTTGGAAAAGGAGAAACTTTTTTCTTACTATTTAGTATTTTTCTTCTTGTAAACTTGTTTCAAAACTTGTTTCAATATCTGAGAAAGAATTAGATATTTATAGCCTATAGGTGAGCACAATGATTCATGCATGATATGTGAAAAGGTAACCTAGAAATATGAACGGTTGCATGAAAATACGAAAGGTTGCATTCAACTGTCATGAGTATTCATGAATGGAATAACTCCATTCATACTTGCAACACTTTCACATTTTTAATTAACCAATCTTTATTCTATGCACCATTATCCATTCACACACATTATACAATGAACCCAACAATGCCCAACATGAATGGGAATGGCCGTAACACGAAAGATAGATATACACGGACTAGTGTGTGATTACAAACAAAGACTAGTTGCATTGGGATACGTGGTTTTCCCTTTGAACTTTATGTAGTGAACTTATATCGGATGCACTCGATCAATCGGTAGATGAGATATCTTTGAACCGTCAAACTTGAATATACACCTAGACAATATAAGTCACCCAACCAGCCTTTTATCATATATGGTTCTCACGGTTTTGTTCGTTTCAGCCATGAACACTTCCTGGTTTTATCAGAGCTTAGATAATTGACCTTTACTAACATTCTCCTTGAAGCGGCTTCCACTTCACTCCCACATAGGTGATTCCTAAATGTTTACTCTCGTAGAGAAACTATTTGGTCATGCCTTGCCAAACTTAGAAATCATTAAAAAGCTTCAATACAAGCTTTATCCTTGGTTACTAAACATTGTCTTCATCGTGAGAATGGGTTATCTTATTTGATAATGTTGGACCGTCAAACACAACTTTGTTTGATCTTTTTGAACCTAGCTCTTGGGATCTCCAGTATGCTAGGTAGAGTTACCATCATGCTTGACTTGTCCTAGGCCTTAAACCCATCCTCTTAGATGACCTTTCAACTCCCTCTCTATTTAGGCCTTTTGTAAGTGGATCCGATACATTATCTTTTGACCTTACATAGTTAATTGTGATAATTCCACTAGAGAGTAGTTCTCTAACGGTATTATGTCTTAGTCTTGTGTGACGAGATTTACCATTATACATCATGCTCCCTGCCCTACTTATTGCAGCCCGACTATCACAATGTATGCATACATGTGCCAATGATTTAGGCCAATACAGAATATCTTCCAAGAAATTCCAGAGCCATTCATCTTTTTCACCGGCTTTATCTAAAGTGATAAATTCAGATTCCATAGTGGAGCGACCAATACATATCTGTTTGGATGATTTTCAAGAGAGTACTCCTCCACCAAGAGTAAATACATATTCACTTGTGGATTTTACTTCATCTGATCCGGTGATCCAATTTGCATCACTATATCCTTCAATTACTGCTGGATATTTGTCATAATGCAAAACATAGTTTTGAGTATGTTTTAAGTACCCTAAAACTCTCTTCATTGCCATCCAGTGAGTTTCATTGGGATTGCTTGTGTACCGACTCAACTAACTAATAGCACATGCTATATCTTATCGTGTACAGTTCATGATATACATCAAACTTCCCAATACTCTCACATAGTCCAATTGTGAGTCACTTTCACCTTTATTCTTTCAAAGTGCAAAGCTCACGTCTATTGGAGTCTTCACAATATTGAAATCCAAATACTTGAACTTGTCAAGTACCTTTTCAATATAATGAGACTGTGACAAAGCCAAACCTTGTGGAGTTCGAAGAATTTTTATCCCCAATATAACATCTGCCGCTCCAAGGTCTTTCATTTCAAATCTAATAGTAAGCATTTGCTTAGTAGCATTTATGCCAGCTAAGTCTCTACTAATGATTAACATATCATCCACATACAATGAAACAATGACCTTATGATTTGGAGTGTCTTTAATGTAAACACATTTGTCACACTCATTAATCTTAAATCCTTTTGCCAACATTGTTTGGTCAAACTTTGCATGCCACTGTTTGGGTGCTTGTTTCAGTCCATAAAGTGACTTCACAAGTTTGCACACTTTTATTTCTTTACCAGGAACCACAAACCCCTCGGGTTGTTCCATGTAAATTTCTTCCTCTAACTCTCCATTTAAAAAAGCTATTTTTTACATCCATTTGATGGATTTCAAGATCATATACTGCTGCTAGTGCAACCAACATTCGAATAGATGTAATCCTTGTCACTGGCGAGTATGAATCAAAGTAATCAAGACCTTTATTTTGTTTGAAGCCTTTGACTACAAGTATTGCCTTGTATTTGTAAATAGTACCATCAATCTTCATTTTCCTTTTAAAGATCCATTTTGATCCTAAAGGCTTATTTCCCGGAGGAAGATCAACCAACTCCCAAGTATGATTATTCAAGATTGATTCAATCTCACCATTGACAACTTCTTTCTGAAAAGATGAATTCGTAGAGGACATTGCTTCTTGGAAGGTTTGAGGCTTATTATCAATGAGAAATGTTACAAAATATGATCCGAAGGAAGTAACAGTCCTTTGATGCTTACTACGCCTTGGATTTTTCTTCATTTTGTATATTTTCCTTTGGTTCATCTTGAGGTCGTTTAGAAACCCCCCCCCCCCCCACTAGACTCTTCATATCTAGGTTTATACTGGTAAATGTGTTCAAAGAATTCAACATTATCTGATTCAATTACCGTATTGTCATGAGTATCTGGATGTTCAGATTAACGAACCAAAAATCGACATGCCTTGCTATTTACAACATATCCAATAAACACACAGTCCACAGTCTTTGCTCCTATTTTCAACCTTTTGGGTGTAGGAACTTGGAATTTCGCTAGACACCCCCACACTTTGAAATATTTCAAGTTGGATTTCTTTCCTTTCCATTTTTCATATGGAATAGATTTTGTCTTTCTATGGGACACTCTATTGAGTATTTGATTTGGTGTAAGGATAGCTTTGCCCCACAAGTTTTTTGGTAACCCTGAACTTATAAGTAAGACATTCATCATTTCCTTCAAAGTTTAGTTTTTTCTTTTTACAATCCCATTGGATTGTGGTGAATAAGGGGTAGTCGTTTGATGGATAATTCCATTTTCCAAACATATTTCCGCAAAAGGAGATTCATATTCTTCACCCTTATCACTTCTTATCATTTTTATGTTTTTATCTAACTGATTTTCAACTTCAATTTTGTATTGCCTAAATGCTTCAATTGCTTCATGCTTACTTGATAGCAAATAAACATAACAATATCTAGTGTAATCATCAATAAAAGTTGTGAAGTACTTTTTCCCACCATGTGTTGGTGTTAATTTCATATCACAAATGTCCGTGTGAATCAAATCTAAAAGATTGGAATTCCTTTCAATAGATTTATAAGGATGCTTAGCAAACTTAGCTTCCATACATATTTGACATTTTGTTTTATTGCCCTCAAAATTAGGCAATACTTCCAAACTAATCAGTTTTTGCAAGGTCTTATAATTGAGATGTCGCAAATGTTCATGCCATAAACCACTCGACTCAAGCAAGTAAGCAGAACACGAACTCTTATTATTAGCAATAGCTATTACATTGAGCTTAAACAAGCCCTCGCAAAGGTAGCCCTTTCCAACTTACACTTCATTTTTACTAATTACAACTTTGTCAGAAACTAATACACATTTGAATCCATTTTTAGTAAGAAGTGGAGTTGAAACTAAGTTCTTTCTTAACTCTGGAACATGTAGCACATTCTTGAGAGTCACCACCTTGCCAGATGTCATCTTCAAGAGAACTTTGCCCGTTCCTTTAACTTTTGCAGTTGTCGAGTTTGCCATGTAAATTATGTCATCACCTTGAGTAGGCTCAAATGATGCAAAAAGTTCTTTGTTGGCACATACATGGCGGTGGCACCAGAATCTATCCATCTCTCTCTTGGATTGCCAACAAGATTGCATTCAAAATGCATAACACATAGATCATCATCTTCAAATTCAGCAACATTTGCTTGATCTTTCTTCTTCACTTTCTTGGGAGCCTTACAATTTGCAGCCCTATGACCATTTTCTCCACAATTAAAGCAACTACCTTTTAATTTCTTCTCAGGTTGACTACTTTGCTGTGCAGAGTTTGCCTTTCTCTTTTTAGACCTTCCATCTTCAACAATATTGGCTCCTAATATTGTTGAATTTCCACGAGGCCTCTTCTCTGCAGCCTTATTATCCTTTTCAATTCTCAATCTTACAATGAGATCTTCAAGGGACATCTCCTTTATCTTATGCTTTAAGTTGTTTTTGAAGTCCTTCCATAGAGGAGGTAACTTGTCAATCGTAGCAGCTACTTGGAAGGCCTCATTAATCACTAGATCTTCCGCAAAGAGATAATTGATAATCAATTGCAATTCCTGAACTTGAGTAACAACATATTTGTTATCTATACCATCTTGAAGTCTAGAGACTTTGCCAAGGATGAATTTCTTCAACCTGGCATCCTCCGTGTTATACTTCTTTTCTATAGCATCCCAGAGGTCTTTGGAAGTTTTCATATTACTGTACACATTGTAAAAGTCATCATGAAGCCCATTCAAAATATAGTTCTTGCATAAGAAATCAGAATGCTTCCAAGCTTCAATAACCATAATGCATTCACCTTCCGGAGTAGAATCTGCTAACTCAGGAACACTTTCTTTGATGAATCTTTGTAGACTTAAAGTAGTTAAATAAAATAGCATCTTTTGCTGCCACTTCTTGAAATTCATGCCAGTGAATTTTCACGTTTTTCAGCCGGTGCAACGCTTGTACTACTTGACGAAACAATATTCATATCAGCCATGACTTCAGTTTCATTAGTCATCTTGTTGTCAAAAAAGACAAGCACACTTAGTGTCTTCAAATAACAACTTGATCTTTATTTCCATTTTTTTCTAGTTTAACGATGAAGTTTATAACTTCCAATCGTTCACCGAATGAACTTTGATTTTCTGACGAACTTTTTAGGTTCTCCAAGTCAGTGATTTCACATATCAGGACACTACCTCCAGTTCAAGTGCCAATGATCGTGAGTAGTAATATAACCCAACTAGTGAGTTGGGGTCGAGTCCCAAGGGATTGGTTCAAAATTGAGAATCAATAGAAAGCATAAATGTGTTCAAGTCAATTATAGCTATAAACATTTACAAAGAAAAACATGATAAATTAAAGGGTCACATAAGTGTCAAGTATTAAAATGGGGTTTCGTAATCAATTATTAACTAAAACGACAACTAAAAATGAAAATACAAATATGGAGATGGGATTCTTGGGATGTGATAGGATTATGGGCTAAGGTAAACAACTGGGTAATTGCTATTGATAGTAAATTGCTATAAATTGGTAACTAAGATAGACTATAATGGGGTAAACTTCCACTCCAACAATTTACCCCGAACCAAATCGGTTTCTCTCAAACACCAATAAGCGGCAATGAAACACATCCTTCGCTTTAGTCCATTCACTCTCTCAAACTAAATGTGTGGGAGAGGGTTTAGGATTCACTCTCTCGAGTTGAACCCACGACAACCTAATAACCACAGACCATCGATTCAATAGTTTTGGTTTTAAAACCTCTCTTGAGAAAGCCAAAAACACGAAGTTAAAATTGTATTTGAAACTTCAACCCAATTAAATTCAAACACAACCACTGAACGAAATCACCTTTAAACAGAAAATGAAATATCAATTAGTAATACCCAACAGTAAAGTCAGCCCATATTCACATAATCACACTCCAAAAATTGGGGTTTTAGCTAGACATAGTAAAGAGATAGAAAACGATACCAAAAAGTGTTTCCATCAAGTGGGTACGATTGATATGGTCTTTACACACGTCTACGATGAATAATCTTCAATACCCACTTCCAATTTCTTCATAATGGGGATTTTCAAAATCTCCAAAGCTAAGGGAAAAATGTCTCCAAAAACAATGTTCTAAAACTGAGTAATTCTAAAATTTCATAAACTGGTTGCATACTAAACTAAAAATTCAAACAAGTATTTATAGTTGTCAAAAAGTGTGCTGCAAAGGTCCACTCGGCACAGTTAGTCGGGATCGCTGATCCCCTCGGCGATCCACCTTTTGGTCTGGTTCATCGCCTTTCTGCATTGGCCTTTAACAAATTCAAGTTCTGTAACTTTAGGCGATATAACACTGCATCGCGGAACTGTTCGGCGACTCGCTGACTGCTCTTTTCTATCGCCGACTTGATTCTTTCCTTCAGGGCTTGGCACACTGGAACATTAGGCGATACCAAGGCCATTCGGCGACTTGCCCAATGGTCTAGGCGATCCTCAAGCCTTCTTTCCTCGTTCTTTCAGCTGCCTTATTCCTTTTTGCTGAATAGTGTCCATGCTTTGTCCCTAAGTTCAAATACCTGAAATTCAAGAATTTATATCAGTTATTGAGACAAAATATGCATTCAAGGACACTAAATCTATAAATATTAAGCCCTAAATGAGTCCAAATCGTGGACTCATCAACACCCCCAACTTAAACTTTTGCTTGTCCTCAAGTAAAACTCAAGTTCAACATTTCAAAAAGGATGTCTCAAATAGTGCTACACAAGACTCAATGAATGCACACAAAAAGACTCAACTTACTCATGCAATGTTCAAATGTGCACTCAAAGTTTCCAATTTTGACTCACCTTTTTCAAAGAATCTTAAGCTCACAATACTTGCTTCAAATGCAAGTTCAAGCTCAACAAAGGAAATCAAATGCCCTCACACAAAGAATGATTCCATGTTCACACTCAAGGGTTCAACAATTTAAAGTTTCGGAATCAAATGCAACGCTCACACTCACAAATATGAACACAATGTATGATTTCACCCATAGGTTTGCCCGTATTTTCAAACCAACATTTGTTTCAGCTCACTCAAGATCAAAAAGGTCTTTTCAAGGCTTGTAACGTGGCTGATTGCAATGGTATGATCATTTAGGCTCATTGGCTATAGTCCTCATGAAACGTGGTGTGCACAACACTTTCTTTCCTTTTCTTCATCATTTTTCATTTCTGCTTACAAGTCATCCCATTATTCATTTTCCATGGATTGCTGGAAACCCCATTTCATTTTTGTATTTTCACAACTTTATTATACATTTATTTTCTTTTTCTTTTTCATTCTTTTCTTTTTCTTTTAAGTATGGAGGGGTTCCATTTTTTTTTTCAGAACATGGGTAAAAGGGGATTTTCTTGCAGTTTCTTGGTTTACCTTATCTTTTCACCACACCACCAACTTAGGCGCATGGACTAAGTTGGCTATTCAAACATGCCACAAATTATGAGGATTATGGGTAATGGATTAGGAAAGGTTATGTTTTCAGCAAGTTTCTTCCAAGAAAAGGGTAAGGCTCAAAGGGTGCTCAAAATGGGTTCACACACTCACAAGGTAGGCCACAAAAAGAGGTATAATGTCAAATTGTTTCACACTCTTTAAAGTTGCCTAAGATCATAACAAGAGTTCATATCACTTAGTCAGCCGGACCAACAGGGTAAATTCTAGGTGCCATCACACATGGTTCACGGTAAGCTCATCACATAAGGCATTGACACCAATGTCAAACAAGACTCCACAATTTCGCTAGTGTGCAATGTTCATCACAAGAGACTCAATTTGATATTTGGTTAGTCACAACAAGATGCAAAGAGTTCACATATTGGATATGCAACTTCATTTGGCCTCATCACAACCGCACATTCATTTTTGTTCGATTATGAGAACTATTCAAGTCATCGATATTGATCAAAATCGATACTCAAATTTGCATAGGAACAACTACATTCAACAAAAACAAGAGGTGGCAATTTCTTTTGGAAGGGTCAAAGATCATTTACAATTAAAAACAAGGAGCCACAAACTCAAACATCCACAAAAAGTAGTGTATGACACAAATTTAGCTCAAAGCCCAAATATATAAACAAAACAAGAATTAGGAATGTCACACAAAAGGTGGGCCTCACCCCACCACAAATAAAAGTATTTGTCCTCAAATGCAAACAAGCTAATAATATCCAAAAATTAAAATAAAAGTAAGGTAGAGAGGATGGTAAAGAGGGGATCTTGTCTACTCAGTCGCTCCATCTGTCTGGGCATCAATACCCGGTGCAATAGTCTAGTCTCAGGCCTCAGTACCCGGGGTCACCTCAGAAGGAACAACAGCTACACTAGGAGTATCCAAGGGAGTATTTGCTAAGGAAGCATGCACAACAACATCTACCATGGTCTCTTCAGTCTCCATAAGGCCATCATATGAAGCTTCCTCAGTAACCTCGAGCATCCCCTCATCAATCTCCGCCTCAGACTCAGGATCATCTGTTTCCTCAACTCTACCCTCATCTCCGGTAGTAGCCAGAGCCATCTCTGACACATTTGGGATCTCCACCATCCCAAAGATCATGGACATATCAGTGGACTTCAGCTGATCCACATCGCTCCGCAACAAATCTATAATGGCCTTCAAGGCCGTCACCTCCTCGGTGGCCCCTTAGCCATGCTCACACACCAATATCCTTGTCGCAAGGGCATCAATGGCAGCGCTCATTTGTGTCACACCATCAGGGCAGTTTGAATCGTACTCAAAATGGAGGCCTCGAGTCTGGCAGCTCAAGGATCAGTAGAATGGGAAATTTGCCCCATCTGGAGTAATGAAGCCTGGGTGATCGGAGTCTGGGAGACAGCAGTAACAACAGGTCTATGGGGTAGTGCAGCAACAGAAGAACTAGGAACATCAGAAGGAGTAGCAGTAGAGGTACCTAAAGTCCCATGGGCCGGAGTAGGCAAAGATGCCTCTGCAGGTAGGGAGTTTGTGTCCACAACCAGGGAAAGGTCCATCGGGGCTTCTTTCGACCCCTTCTCTGCCTGATCCTTAAGATATTCAGCTTTGATTCTCTGGATATTAGTGGAGGATGTGGGAATCACTTCCACATCCTTCTTTGCATCTCTGGCTACCCGAGCCCATCTGCACAACTCGATGATCAATACCGGGAAGGAAAGTGAGGTCTGGCGTTGCTTTGCACGCATGAGAATCTCAGAAGCAATGATCATCCCCAAATTTAGCTATGTTTTATCAATAATGCAATCTAGACAGGCTGATTTGGCATGTCAGAGAATAGACTCATTTTGGGATGGCATGATCGTACTGCTGATGAAACCAAACTAATACCGAGCTGCCACGTTGAGGTCATTCTTTTCAATAACAGCACCAACTCAAGCTAGTTGGGACTGTCGTCTGAGATCAACGGAGGTAACCACTTCTTCATGTTGTTCAACATTTTAGTCCTAATCATGCGCTGGCAATCAGTCATCATCAATGTCATTAGGACGATCTAGGATAGCCTTAATAATGACATGGTCACACTTGACATTCTTTCCCCGGATGACTACATAGTCAACCAGTTTGAATGTTGCTGCTTGTTTCTTCCTCTGTGGTATCAAGGTCACATAAGAAACATAGAACTCCCAGACCCAATTTGGAATGTATGGGCCATGGGCTTGGTGAAGATCTGGAAATCATAATACTTGAGGCAACTCATAATCTTTGGATACCTATCAATCACTCCATCCATGGATAGACACTTTTCCTCAATAATGGTCCTTATCCCCTCAGTCTTTAATCTATTCATTGACTTTGGAGGAGGGCCCTGTAATGGGGGTGCCAGCACCACTGCTTGTTCTGGGACTGGAGAATGAGTGATAGCTAGAGGAGTCCGGATCCTAGATG